TATGATTCATAGATTCATATTTACATGAATCATCAGCATAAAGAAGATAATTGAACTCATGGGAGCTGAAGAGATCACCAAGCTAAATAAGTAGGGAGAAGAAAAGTAGGCCCAGGACAGAGCCTTGTGACCTGGACGAAGATCCTACAAAGAATACTGAGAAGGATCAGATAGAAAAATAAGAAAAGAACTAGGAGAGAATAGTGTCATGAAAATAGAGAGAAAATAATATCCAGGAGAAGAGGGTGATTATCTGCATCAGGTGTTGCAGAGAAGTGATTAAAGGATGAGGACTGAGAAAGGCTGTTAGATTTGACAAATAAGAGATCATTGGTAGCTTTGGAAAGGAAGGCTTCAGTTGAAAAATTAGGTTAGAAGCCAGACTTCAGAATTTTTAGAAGGAAAAAGAGAGGAAGTAACATACCTAGTAGAGACAGCTTTCTTAAGGATCTTAACCAAGAAGAGAAGGGAGAAATATAGGATGATAGGTAGATAACAGATGCTCAAATCATGCTGTTTTCCCCAATATAATGTAAATTCCTTGAGGACAAAAACTTTTTATTTTTAGTCTTTGTGTCACTTGTGCTTAACACACTGCCTGGCACATAGAAAGCATTCAGCAAATATTTGCTTGCTTACTTAATTGATCTTTCTGCTGTGTGTCATCCCCCAGATTGGTGACCAAGAACCACTCATGTATTGGAGCTATAGCTCCAATGCTTCATGAATTAACTTCAAGTTAACTGGGCCAATTTACTTGCTATTGATAAATTCTGTTTTAATAATTCCACTTTCTCTTCCACTCAGTTTATAGTTTGTTTTTCGTGTCATTCTTTTTGAACTATAGCTTCTACCCTCATTTCTTCCCATTCTTTGCAACTCATACTACCATCTTAGCATGCATGTGCTATGTAGAAGAACTGAAGCAGCCACAGTAGTTTAACAAACCTTAGAGATTGTTGAGAATATTATATATAAACATACTCCAGACCATGACTGATCCTCTGGTGATCCCCTGTAGGCTGATGACCAAATTTGCCTCTGAATCTTGAAACTCCATACCAACCAACCTTCCCAGAAACTGGAAAAGTGGGATGTCTGGTTTTCCTCAACAATACATGCCATGAATCAAGTGACCTTCCAGCTAGACTCCTGTTTTCTACCAGTTAGAGCTCCTTAATACTCACAAAGACCCTGGTCTTCATTCTTGCTCCTCACAACCTCTCTCAGTAGTAATTAGTGGCCAAATGGAGTTTGTGGTCTAAGAAACACTACTGGCATTGAAGAAGGCAAATCCAATACCTCTTTGATTAAGAAAGATAGGAATAAATGGGAGTCCACCAGGAACATGCTCCCTATTCATGCCTTCCACTTTCATGTTCCCCACAATTCTAACCCTAAGGCCCAGGGAGGCTCCCTACAGTAAGGAGTGGCATCTAGACCCAATAACTGGCTCAGGGGTGGAAGACTGGCAGGAGAACAAGCAGTCAGTTCTGATGCTTAAACATGCTAAACAAGCACATTCAGCCACCAGGAATGACTTACACTCCTAATCCCTTCTATGACTGACTGTTATGTCTTGATTTCTTGCCACTGGTCCTTGTTCCCTGGATTTCCCTTATCAGACACCCTGACTCAGTCTCTGATTCTCACTACAGTAACTTGGCCTCTCCATGTGCTGATTGCTTGACTCCAGTTCCTATACCTGTTCCCCAGATCTCAGTCAAAGTAAATAAACATTAAGTTCCTACTCTGTGCCAGAACTGTGCTAAGCACTGGGGGCACAAAGAAAGGCATGCCTGCCCTCAAGAAGCTTACAGTCTAAGATCTCCCTAAGAAAACCTCACTTGTCCCCTCTGCTTACCTTCCAGAAAAATACCCAGTTATGACTCAGCCTCTAAATAGACCCTGCTTATGATTTAGCAGTTGAATCCCTCTAAAATACCAAGAAATATAGGTCCCTTTATGCCAGTCTGCAAAACCCTCTCATTATTTAGGACTTCATTTCCCTCTTAAACATGTTTGGTTCCCCTTTCAAATTTTAAGATTGTTTTCCTTGTTGGATAAGAGGGAAATAAAATCAGAGTTGAGTACTTTTGTTTTCTCTTAAGAGGAGGTGTGATGTAGTATAGAGTAAATAGACTTGGATGGGGGAAGGCTTGGGTTTGAATCCTGCCTCTACTATTTACTACTTGTGTGACCTGACCCTCTGAGGTCCCTTTTAGCTCAAAATCTATGATCTATGCCTTCTTTTTACTCGCTTTATACTTTTTTCCCCAAGAAGTAGACTAATATGCTTCTTAGACTTTTTTCCTCTCTGAAGGGGCTTTAAAAGTTCTAAGCCCTTTTCTGTTGTTCATGTCACTTTTTAAAAGCCTCAGTTCATTCTGACAGGGTTCTTGTCAGACGTTTATATTCATCATTGTTTGTATTGTCCTCTTTCTATCTTTAAAAGCAAATAACATTTTAAAATCTTGACTCATCAGAAAGCTTCCTATATAGTGGGATTTCTGTAGGCAGAGATAGGGAGAGTATATTCTATGCAAAGTGAATGATATGAGTAAAAGTACAAAGACAACATGGCAAAGAATGCAAAGAATGGCAAGAAGTCTTTCAGAGGGTAGAATTTACATAGAAGGGTAGTGGTAGATAATGCTGGAAATTTACGTAGGTCAGGTCATGAGGAGCTTTGACTATTAAGCTAAAAATAATTTACCTTTAGTTGGCAGGCGATAGAAAGCCAGTCACGGAAGATTTAGGGCAAAGACTAAGGATGAGGTTAGTGCTTTAGGAAAACTCTTCTGGCTATACTGCATAGAATAAACTGGAGTGGAAAGAGATGATATCACAAGTAGGAACTTCAGTTTAGGAGGAGATTGCAATAGTGCTAGCCACACATAATGAGGACCTGAACTAGAATGTTGCCAATAGAGATGGACATAAGAGATATTGCAAAAGCAGAATCAACAGGATTTAGCCATTAATTAGATGGAGGAAGGGGAGTGATCAAGGAAGAAGGGAAGAGTGCCATTTTTGTCTAAAGAATTCTTACCCATCCTTTTTCTTTATTACCCATCCTTTTAAAGTTCACTTTGAATGCCAACTCCTCTGGTCAGTCTTTCCTTGTCTTCACAATTAGTAATAACCTCTTACCACATTGAATTAACATAATAACTTGTATATCTTATGTATTTATCACATAATATCTTGTTCTATTGTTATTTGTGAATATGTCACAGAATAATAGACTTAGAAGCCATCGATCACATCCCCTACTAGACTATAAGCTCTGTGAGATCAGGGATCATGTTTTATCCAAACTTTCTATCTAACCTAGTACCTAGCAAAATTTTAGTTCTGAGTATAGAAGATACCAATAAAGATTCCTTGAAATTAATTGAATAAAGAATGACTCCCCAGGTTTTGAGCCTGAATGACTGGGAGAATATTCTGGCAATGACATTAAGGGCAACAGGAAAAGTAGATATGGAGAAGAAAAATAGTGTATTCGGTTTAAGAAATGTTTAATTTGAAGTACTAGGATAGCAGCAGGGATATCCAATGCTGGGGTATCTAGCAAGCCATCAGAAATGCATTAGAACTTAGGAGAGTGGCCAGAACTAGAGAAATAAACTGGGGAGTCATCTGCACAGAGGTAATAATTGAAACTTTGAGGGTTAGTGAGAAAGTGCTGGACAAAAGAGGTAAGGGCTAAGGACAAAACCTTAGGATATGCCTATAAGAGGAAGAAGTGAATGTGACAGATGAGTAGACAAAGAAGTGGTCAAAGAAAGAAAATTGTGAAGCCTCATGAAAACCAAGGCAGAATTACAAGGAGAGGTTAGTCAACAAAGTCAAATGTTGTAAAGTGGTCAAGGAGAATGAAAAGTTAGGAAAAGTCATTGGATTTCTCAGGTAATTATTGCTAACCTCAAAGGGAATAGTTTCAGTAGAATTGTGAGAGCAAAAACCAGGTCCCAAGGGGCTAAAAGATGAGTAGAAGGTAATGAAGAAGGAAGCACAGATGTTAAGTGTAGACGACTCTTAGGAGTTTAGCTATGAAAGGAGATTTGGAGATAAAATGGTAGCTTGGTGTCCTAGCTAGATTGAGAGAATGTAGAGAGAGGATCTGAGCGTGTTTGTAGGCAGAGAAGCAACCAGTGAAAAGTCAGAGACTGAAGATGAAGGAGAGGATAGATAATCAATGGAACAATTTAAAGAAGAGAATAGTATCAGGAACACAGATAGAGCACTTGGAAAGCAGAGATACCTCTGAGACAAAAGAGAGGAGTGGGTGGATGAAAATAACAGAACAGTTTTGAAATATAAACAGAAGAAAGCTGAAAGAGCTTATGTCATTTGGCTTCCATTTTCTCAGTAAAATAGAAGGTGAAGCTGTAAGCCCAAAGTAAAGAAGCCATTGTGGGATTGGCAACTTGAGATGAGTGAAAAAGGTTTGGAACAAGCTCTGTGGAATGTGGTAGAGAGTAAACAAGTGATGGATAAATCTTTCCTGAGAAGCAGTAAGGGCCCAGATGTCATTAGGGAGCATGAATCAGCCTGGATTCATGGCTTTTTTTTTCCCCAGCAATGTTTGACCACTTGGGAGCTAGAGTAGAGAAAAGAGAAAGTAAGGATTACCCACAGTTTGGGATTGGCAAGGACAAGAGTTAGATGGGTTCTAGAAGACCATCAAGAGCATTATTGGTCATGTGACCAATTATGGGGTCTAAATTGGATAGAAAGGTAAGTGAGGCCATTTGTGGACTACTAGATAGGATGATCAATCAACTGGATCTCTATAACTAACAGTAAGGGTAAAGAACTAGCTAAGGCAAGATGCATTGTCCTTTGCAAGAAACTCACTGTTTTGCTCTTGTAGGGAATATACAGAAAAATAAATTACTGTGTATTTTTTTAAAAGTTTATTGTTTAAGCTAAAAAGTTAAATGTATTTGAAAACTATAACCCAAGTAATTGTTTGCATTTCATCCTGAAAGATGAAGTCGAACCATTCTGAACAGAGTGGAGAAAGCTTAATATCGCCAAAGAAAGAGAAAACCTTCAAACACATCTATCAGCCAGATATACAGCCGGATATTAAAGACCTGAATGAAAGAGTGGAGCTAGAGACAGTGATGGACCCGAACTTCGAGACCGAGCTGGATCTGGGGCCAGAACTTGAGTTTGATCTAGGGCCAGAAACTGAGACTGAGACTGAGATTGAGATTGAGATGCACCATGCTACAGGAACAGAAACAGAGATGGAAACAGAGTCAGAAACAGAGCACAACACTTATGATCAGCCATATGAAGTGCCATACCAAAGACCATGCCATTGGGAAAATAGGGGCACCCAAAAAAGGGAATGCCATGATATCTGGGACCAGAACTGGAAATACTCGAACAAATCCTAACATTCCACTATGATGTCCCATGGGACATTCTCCCCCACCCAAATAGGAATTGTTTAGTCATGGGGGCCTTGATCTGTTGATTGATAACTAATCCAATACTGACCGTGTAGCTCATCCATGTACTTACATTAGACATGGACCCATGCTAAGGATGGGGATGGGACCCCCAGATCACATCATTAACATGCAAGACATAGTACTGGATCTCTAATCATTTGTCAAGCTGTAGTACCCATAGCAGATGTTTCCCTCTTTATGGGTCCTTAAGCGTCACCAAAGTTCCTGGAGATTCTGGCTGACCATTGCTGATAGCTCCTTTCCACTCTCCCTCCCACCATCAGCCTCTACATATAAACACTGAGGTTCAAATAAAATACGCAGCTCTAGTTATATTCTGCAAAAGGTTTTGTATTCTTCCTGCCTCTTCTCTCTCCTATGCACTCTGAGGCTATAAGAGGATATGAAGGAGAGAATCCAGACATGATGTGTGTTTATGGGAAGGAACTGCTAGCAGGAGAAAGGGAAATCTAGCAGCTCTTTTACTTAGGCAAGGCTTCTTTACAACAATTATCATAGGAAAGAGCAGGGAATAGTGGGGCAGGTAGGTGATGTTTTGCCAGGATGTAGAGATTGGTGGAAGAGAAAGCTTGCCAGCGGGTTTACAAATATTAATTCAATTGAAAGATTTTAAACTTATTAGGTCCTAAAAGTCTGAGGCTAAATGCTGTCAGGGAAAGGGGCTCTGGGATCTAGTCCTGCCCCAGACCCAGCATTGCAGACTAGTGAGATGCAATCAGAATGGAGCTCTTACTAACAGTTCCTTGCTAGTTCTGCTTCCATCACTTTAACTGAAGGTTTGGAAAGCCTAATCATTTTCTTTGGAACATGTTGCAATGTATGACTTGTGACAGAACTCTCTTTGTTGGAATGTGTGACTTGAAAAAAACTGAATACAATCATTTCTGCCCAAGCTCAATCAAAAAAACTTCCCCTTTTAAAAAATTGCTGATGCTGAGTCCAGCCAGAGGGAGTTGGTGCATGGTTCTAATCTCAACAATGTCACTTAGCAAATGAGCCCCACTTTTCTCCGTATCTCAGTTTAATAATCTTTGTTAGAACTTAGATCTCTCTGATCCCTCAGAGACTACATCCATTAATTAACAAGTATTTATTGTTCATCTACTGTGTGCGCAGCATTGTGCCTACAGGAGTCACCCCAAAAATGACATGCTCCTTACCCCCTAGCAGCTTATAATCTAGTTCATTATATGCCATACTAGCATGGTAATAAAATGACAAAATAAGAAAAGTACTAAAATCCAAACCTCATAATGGAAATCTTACCTATATAAGTGAGTTTAGAATTTAGAAACACAAGGTCCTAAAGTACAGAATTTGTTTAAATAAGAAAATAATGAGCAAATCTATGAAGAGCTGTCCTAGGCACACTTAGAATATGGGCTGGGTGCACATTCTACACATGCTTGTGATAATTTTTATATGTGTGCCTTTGAGAGGCTACTTGGATTATTCACAACAATCACCTTATTAAAAGTTCCACTGGAGTCCATTAGAAATCCACAGCCCTAGCCATAGTCATCAAATAAAGGGGGGGGAGGGGCACCATTTTAAAAAAATGATAAATGGACACGATCAAGCTTATCTAAGAAAGGGCTCTGCGAGCTGATAATTAAAAGGTCTCAGTTTGTTTAGAAATTGTTTTAAAAAAAACGAAAACCCTAAATTGCTAAGCCACTTCCAATACTTTCAAGTGGTGCTATCTGGGCTAGTTAATTCAACTGGTTGCAGCATGATACTAATAGGAGTAAAATTCTAGGTTTAATCCTCAGGTGACTTGAAACAATGTTACACACTGCACCCCTGCCTTCAGAATTTTGTATCTTTGATCACAGCAGAATGTAAGCTCCTTGTGGGCAAGGACTGTCTCACTTTTGTATTTGTATCCCCAGCACCTAGCTCAGTGCCTGGAACATAGTAGATACTTAATAAATCCTTGTTGATTGATTGATTTACAAAGGGACTAGATAAGAGTATGGATGGATCATCACAAACCCTTCTGCATTAGCAGGGAGAAAATACTACTCAAAGCACATGTAGCTTGCTGGAGGCAGGGTCACAGTAGCATCATCTTTGTATAGGAAGAACTAAGTGGTATCATTAATACTACAAAGTCTGGGGATTCGTGGAGAAGACTATTTGAAGGTAGTACCAGACAGCTTTTACTCTGTTTAGCCAGTGTGATTTAAACAAACAAACAAAATCCTTAAGGGATTTGTAACTCTGTTACACCCATGATCAATTCTCGATCATCGGCCCTAATGAAAAAGAGTAATTGTATAATCCAAAGAAGTTAATAATCACAAAAATCATAGCATGTTAGAGCCAGAAGTGACCTTAAAAATGATCTAAAACCCATGTTCTGATCACTTCCCCATCCATGACACAGTTATATCTCTAGCATAATCTCTTACTGAACATTGAATTAGTTCAAAAGTTGTTTCTGAACCGATGAACACCAGCCTCCCAATCTTCATTGAGTAGAGAGTTTGTAAGTCAGTTGATGCCCCCC